CCCCAAAACCCCAAAACCCCAAAACCCCAAAACCCCAGAGGAAGGGAGAGGGATTGAGAGAATATATGGAGGGTTTTGGGAAGATGGAGAGGGTTTAGAGCTGTGTTTTGTTGGGTATGGAGGAGGGAGGCGGGGAATTAGGGATTTTTTGGGGGATTTTTGGGGGATTTATTCTTTCTTTGGGGAGATCATTGGTATTTTGGAGTATTGGTGTTTTTTAAATTTGCTACGATAATTATTGGATGATCAAGACCCACATCTTTGCCACCGAATAATCTCTAGAGAAAATACTGTACATAAGTCTCTAATAAGCTCTTAGATTGCTAATTTTAATTTGGTAACGAAACTTCTGATTATTTCAAACAACTATTAAATTCGCGATCTGATGTCCTTCATAATTTTGATAAAATTAAATTTTGTGTTAAATGATATTTATTTCTGAGGAAAAGATAAAACTTTCAATGTATTCTTTATTTCCTCATGTCATTTCTCAAATTTCAGCTTTTAGTGGTGATGTGCTGACTAAAAATACCAAAATTGTTCTCAAATTCGTCCAAAAGCGACATGACTCTTATTCGGAGTTTTTAAGAAAATTTTAATGGGTAGATATATAAAGACACTAGTTCAGGAATTAATAATTAATTTTTAAATCATGACTACTTTGCTCCAAAATTCGAACTCTGAAATCCAACTGTAAGTAGTGAGACTAGGCTCCCTTTCATACTTTTTGGAGTGTTTAGAATATCTCTAAGCTATGCCTTGAGCTTTCCTCATCAGCCATCATTCTGACTAAAAGTAATTTTTTATGTATAGATTTTCTCCTCAAAAGCAAGACCCTGCAGATCTTTTCTCAGTATCATGAATCTCTACAGAGGAGTGAGCTGTCACTCTGCTAACTTCTCAAGATGATTGCTTCTCTAAACTTCCAGCTCTTAATGAAGCTTTACAGTATGATGGGTTGCCTCTGAGAGTCGATAGTAATCTCAGTCCTGTTCTCTACGCACCTGTGATTCCTGAGAGAAAAGATGAAGCCACAGGAATGCCAGATTTAATCCTTCCTCCATTAGCTGTTTCCAGGTTTGATGCAGAGGAATCTGTGAGGTTCAAGGTATGCCTTTATTCTACTTTCTATTCTGTCAAATTTATCTCATTTCAAATATTGGTTGAATCGGTAGCAAATCGAGTTTTACCCAAAAATCCTGGTCGATAACAAACCAGAATTAATTAGGGTTTAAAATAAAAAACTCAAAAGATACTGATTGATGATAGCTTAGGGTTCACAAAAGTCTGATCTTGAAGGAAATGCTATTCTCTCTTACGTGCATGTAGTTATAAAGTGCATTAAGGAAACACCATTCATTTCTGTTTAATTTCAAAATCTTAATAACGTTCGCTTCCGAAAGGGGATTATTAGAAAGATATAATAGATGCTTATTATTTCATGAATCTGACATTGATCCTGTTTATAGACTCTCTACATTAAAAACCTCCAAAGCCATTTGTGAAAGGAAAATATTCCTATCCAAAGAAATGAGAGTAAGAGAGCCAATGCTAAACTGTCTAGTCCCATTAGAGCTTCTGAGCGAATCATTAATTTTTGATAATCCAAAGTATACTAGCATGTATAAGATGATACTCGAGTACGTACTTCCAAGATGGAGGCAGTACTTGTCCATCAAAAATCTGAAGAACACTCCTTCAAAGAAGAAAAGAAGAGCAGACTCTTATAAGAAGAAAGTTATGAGAGATCTAAGAGAATTCTTCAGAATCCTCTTTAGAAAAAGATTCCATGCTTCTGAATATAAAACAAGTGAAGGCGTACGGAGCTGTATGAAAAAGTTCTTTATCGAGCTAGGCTTTAGTGCCTCTGAGGATGATCTTGATGACCTTTACCTCTTCAAATTTCTCCATCAGACGCATAAGAATACACTCACTAAGTCATTAAGAGAATATTCAGCAAGAGAAGGGTCTCCATTTAACTCAGTAGATAAGTTCAACTATACAATGTACAACAAGTTCCTCACAAATTCTCTAAGTAGCCAGATCTTTTTCTTTGTGTTCGGGAATTTTCAAGAATTTTACCTCGACAATGTGAAGGATGACATTAAAGAACAAGTCTCATGAGTGGTCAGAGACATCTTGCAATTTTATAAGAAACTAGAAGTGAATTCATCTTTGTCAAAATATGTAACAGACTTTTAAATTGAAATCTTAATCTTTTCTATAATAAAGGGTACTTACGGGGTTTTGGGGTTTTGGGGTTTTGGGGTTTTGGGGTTTTGGGGTTTTGGGG